TTCTGATTCATTGGTTATTTGTACAAAGACGTAATTTTTGTAAACTTCCACTAACGTTTTAATACAACAAACTGTTCTGATTCTATTTGGTTATTTGTACACAGCGAAGTTTTTATAACACTTACACAAGGGTTTTAATACAACAAAACGGGTTGTTCTGATTCATCGGTTATTTGCACACGGCGAAATTTTTTATAACATTCCATAACGTTTTAATACAACAAAACTGTTCTGATTCATTGGTTATTTGTAGACAGCGAAGTTTTTTATAACACTTACACAAGGGTTTTAATAGAACACAACATTTTGTTATGATATACTGACTACTTTCCAAATAAAGCTTTATAACAAACAACATGAATTTGTGCTTTATCATTATTTCCATTTCTGGAAGAATCAGAATCCGACGTTCTTATAAAATTAGATTGTTAAAAATTTAGCTCTAATCGAAACGGTTAATCTCAAAGAATTACAAGTATGTTCGTTTCATTTAATTTGAATCTCACCGTTTTATATACGCAGATAAAACAAAAACGTAATTTTTGTGATATTTACGGCAAGAACGTTATTTAAAGAGCAGTAGGTTTTGAGGATGAATTCTTACTTAAAAAGGTAGGACGTTTTGATCACTAGAGCTATCATTCTCGAATACATAGGTTATAACGGAAAAGATAATATTTTTGTATTTAAATCAACACTATTACAATGAGTAAACAATGTATTTGAGTTAGAGATTCTGTAGTTTTAACTTGGGTTTATCAATTCGCGTGGATGACAAATTTCTCTCTATTCTTTATTTATTTCACGAATAAAAACAACAACAACATCATATATTAATATAAAATAATACAGTGAAGCAACTGTCAAGCTTTTTACATAGGTGAAACAGGACGTAATTTGACCACTAGATTAAATTAATACTAAAAAATCACCTTCCCTCGCCGATGAACATGTAAACAAAAACAAACACAGTTTTTGGATGTTCATGGACGAGGGAAGGTGATTTTTTGTATTAATTCGATAGTGATTTTCTCG